GATCTGGTAGCTGAGGTCATCCTGCGGTGGCTGACCATGCCCTGCCACAGTAAATGCAGGTTGCCCCTTCTGGTCACCCACACCCAGCTCCTCCTGCTTGGCCCGCATGCAACTGAGTTGCATGTCAGGCACATGGTCTCCTGCAACTGGTTTGCCATAGCTGCAGCAGACAGACTCAGACAGGGGTTGTGCAGCTTAGAGCAAAAGGGCTCAGGCTGCATCACATGGCTGGACATGCGAAAATTATTCCAGTCCTTTGTCATCATGTGAATCTGGCTCACTTTTCCACACCGACCCTTGTGTACTGCACAGTGCCTTGTATGAAGTGGGCCCATTTGCTACACAGTCTTAAATGCCTTTCATGGCCTCGACCTGTGGCTTACCTATGCACCACCATGGGCCCACATGCATGGCACTACGATCAGCGCCTTCCTGCAGCGCTTGCTTCTTCTTCTGAGAAGCCCCTACTCTCAGCCAAGCACCTCACCAGCTCTGTCATCTCTATGTGCTTGGCTTCCAGCTCATTCCTGAGCAGGTGCTCCTTCTCATACTGCTGGACCTGCATTTCACTCATCTGCTTCAGGAAGAAGTTCTGCCTGCTAGCCACCAAATCCATGGCTTGATTTGTCTCCTCCTTTTGCAGCCTCAGCTCCAATTTGAGCTCTGCGTGCTGCTCCATTTTAGCGTTCTTATGCTCAGCCTGCATGGCCTCCTCTTCATTCTCTCCTCCAAGCGCAGGCTGCTCAGCCCAGCCCTTCTGAAGATTCCATGCTTTCCATTCTTCAGGAGTCCACTTCTTCTTGGAGCTGCCAGCGCCATCTTCTTGCCCTCCATGGCCTTGCCATCCTGCTCATCCATCCACTCTGGAAAACTCATGTAGCCCCACCAAGCTGCTGATCATGCAGAAAAATGCACAGACATGCCAAGAGTGCTCCCATCCATGCTCCTTAAATCGTTTCTTTGCACATTGGGAAAAATGGCCACACAGGTTCAAGCAACCATCTGTTCAAGCCAAGGGGCTGCTGGCATCATCCTCACTGTAGGCCCCTCTAAGGACAGTCCTCAGCTTCCTGGCACCTTTGCCATGGTTCATGCCATAGGGCTGGGGGTAGTAGCCCTTGTGCTTCCCCTTGCCCTTGCCCCAGGAAGGCTGGTGCCAATCCTCATCCCATCCAAAGCCCTTGCCCCACAACATGGCTGACTCCTGGATGGCGTGCAGTTCGAGTACTTGAGCATACATGCTGCCCTCATGCCTTGCTGGCCTTGCAGCGCACAAAGCAATATTGGAAAAGTTCCAAGGGCTTCACCTTGTTTAGAGTCTAGAGGCATGTTTCAGCCTTTTCCCAGTCACACACTTGTGTAACCTACCTAGCAGCATTGAGAAAACCACTTTGCCATGGCCCTTTCCATCAATCATCGTCTAGCCTACTTTCAGGCATGTTACAGCCTTCGCATCAAGGCATCTCCCAGCCTATTTTTCAAGCAATGCTCATCCTGTCCTCGTAGGCAACTTTCCCAGCTTATGTTTAGGTGCACTGCACCTGTTCTTTAGGCATGTTTCAGCCTGCAACAAAAACAGTTGCCACCATTGTGGAGTATATATTAAATCCAAGGACGGAGCGAAAGCAAGCTCGACACATTTTCCACCATGTGCAGGCTCTGGCTCCAAACTGCAGAAATGCTAGCCCCCCCCCCCCTGTGCACCAGCATGAAAGGTGCATTGCGCCCCAAAATGCTGCCCTGCAGGCACTATGTTGCCATGCAAGCAAAGCATCTTTGAGGGACACTGCCGTCCCCTGGTCAAGCTTGCCCATCTCCTCCATGGTGGATTTGATCTTGTTCATGATCTTGAAGTGGGACTTGCTCTGCTTCTCATTGATGCAAACCAAGTGTTTCTTTTTGCCACCCTCCAAAACTTGTAGGTATGTCCTGCCTTTGGCTTTGGTCAGGTAGATCTTGGAGCAGCCTTCTCCCTCAGCAGCAGGTTCCGTGGAAGAATGGCCTGAACTGCCTTCTGAGCATGCTTCCTCAATGGCAAGAGCCTTGGCCTTAGCCTTTGCCATCTTCTTCTTGTTTGCTGCCTTCTTGGCAGGCACAGGGCTGCAAGCCAGTGCTTCAAAGTCAAGGCCCACATCAGACTCAGCCATGCTCTCTGTGCCAAGAGTGCTGGTGCTTGTTCCTTTGTAGGGTAAGTCTTGCACCAGCCTTGCAAGCTGCCCTAACTGCTCCTTTTCTTTCTCTGTCAGGCTGCTCTGGGCTTGCCTCATCCTCACCTTGCTGTTCTTGACCCTTCTGAGGTGGGCCATCACAACCAGGATCCTGCTTGCCACCCACCCTGCCCATCTGTCCAAGGACATGCCCCTGTCTGACAAAGCTGGGAATTGGTTGCTGCATTCTTTCACAGCCTCTTTGAGATCTGTGTAATTGAACAGGCCACTCTTGCTGACAGCCAGCAAAGACATGATCAATGCCTCCAATGCCAGCAAGCCAGCACCTTTGACAGCATTGTTCAACAGCACCCCCTTGTAGCAGCCAAAGCTGAAAGCTTTGGAGGTGCCTTCTTTCTTGGTGTGCTCAATGAGGTTGTTGACCAGCAAGGCTTTGCTGCAAGTTGGTGTGTGCAACCTCTTCACCGTATGCTTTTTCACATGGTGCTTCTGGCTGACACCCAACTTCCCCATGGCGGGATTGCAGGCAACTACCTATAGGCAGGCTTGATCCTGAAACAAATGATTCCGCCATGCAATCCAACACATGCCAAAAGCATATGATGTTCTTTCTGAGCACATGGGCTGGAATGCTTTGCTGGGATGCATATCACAGCCTAAACTCATTTCACTACGATCCTGAGCATGGCATATTTCAGCCATTTTGGCCCTGTGCATACTCATCAATGTCAATATTGCCAAAAGTCATTTTTCAAGCGCGGGCTTTGAATATTCTATGAAGTCCGAGATTGAAATCATCACAATTCAATATCAAAATCATGGAAAATTAGCCTTAAACCAAGACTTCAAGCGCACCATGAAAAATGCAGAAAGCCAAGCGCAAGAATTGTTTTTTCAATCTTAGAGGGTTTGGGTTGAGGTGCCTTGAATGTGGCCTCAAATTCGGGGCAAGGAAAAAGACGTATTTTTGCTTAGGTCATATGGGGCTCTTAACAAGTGAAAAGAGACCAAACGACGCCCGAGGTTGGCTGCAGGGTACCTCAGGAAAAAGACGTCTTTTTGGCCTAGGTCACATGGGTCTCTTAACGCCTGGAAAGAACGCCCCAGCGGAAGGAGAACAAACAACGCCTATCTGAGGTGCCCTGAATTTGGCCTCGAATTTGGGGTAAGGAAAAAGACGTTTTTTTGCTTAAATCATATGGGGCTCTTGACAAGTGAAAAGAGACCAAACGACGCCCCCTCTCAGAACCTCAAGTTTAGGACCTCAAGTTCAGGGCTGCGAAGCTTTAAGGATTCAAAAAAGTGTCTTGCCACTGGCTGGACCGGGACATTACGCCTGAAGCGTTGCAATATCAATGACAGGTGGCAGAAGTGGCGATTTCTAAGAGAAAAAGCCGAGGCATCCAGTAGGTCACGTGTTTTTGCTTGGGTCACTTGGGTCTCTTATAACGCCTCGAAGGAGAACAAGCAACGTCCCAGTGGAAGGAGAACAAACAACGCCTTTTTGAGGTGCCTTGAATTTGGCCTCGAATTTGGTAAGGAAAAAGACGTCTTTTTGGCTTAGGTCATATGGGGCTCTTAACAAGTGAAAAAAGACCAAACGACGCCCCTCTGAGGGTACCTCAGGAAAAAGACGTTTTTTTGCCCTAGGTCACATGGCTCTCTTAACGCCTGCCTTGAATTTGGCCTTGAATTTTGTGTAAGGAAAAGGACGTGCTTTTGCCTAGGTCACATGGGGCTCTTAACGCGTGGAAGGGGACATGGATCTCTTAACGAGAATATAAACAACGCCACTCTGACTTCGGCAGCAGGCTGAACACTTGACAGGAGAAGAACACTAGGGTCTACTCTTTAAACCACCCCCCGAAAGGGTATAAAAGCAAGGCCCCTTTTTTGTAAGTACAACAAGGCCTTCTTGGCACTTTCCTGTTTTTCATGTCCCAGTGCTGAGGATGCTGGAAGTGCAGGGGATGCAACCACACAACTTACAGGAACAGACACCCAGCACAGTCCCAAAAGCCTTCGGCTTTGATAAAACATTCTGAAGGAAGACCAAGTTGCGGACTGCCATCCAAACGCTCGACTGGCGTCGGCGGATGATTCGGGGTCCGTTTATAAAACGCAAGAACGGATTACAACTGGTCTGCTGGGCCTGAAAGAAGGGGGCAAGGTGAGTGAGCCATGGACATCACCAGTCGGACGGTTAGCGAAAGTTAAGCCTGCGAGAACGGCCCAGACACGCGCAGGACGAAGAGGCTATCAAGCTGGGCAAAGGAAGAAATTCCCTCTTCTCCAGGTGTAACCAAATACTAAAAAGAAGCCAATCTGAAGCAGCTCTGACCCAAAACCCAAATACAAGAACTCTTGAAGGTGTTTTTTTCTTTGGGGGGGACGGTTTATTGCCGATGCCAGTGGGCAGTCCCCTAGTAATAAACTGGGATGTCCCAGATGCTGAGGATGCTGGAAATGCAAGGATGCAACCACACAACATAAAGAAGCACACCCAAGCTTCGCATCCAAAATTTTACAACTTTCAGACACGCAAAATTGACCAAACACAAAAATACCAGACATGTCGGGAATGCTGGGAATGCAGCCGCCTAGCCACAAAAAAGTGCAAAAAACATGGTTTTTCGATATTTCCTAAAATCAACCATCAAAAACGGATTGTAGCAACCCCCCTCAAATACCCTAAAAATAGACTTCCAAACGCACGATAATGCAGGGGATGTTTCTCAATCCCAAAAGGCTTTGCAAACACATTGATTAGGGAAAATGGACCGTGTGCGGAAAGCCGTTGAAGCTTCGGTGCACCTTATTTCGGATGGGCAGGTAAGCGGTTCCAGGAATGCGTTGGAGCGGGCGCTGCCGTTCTCGATGGTGACCAGCATCCAATCGCTGCGGCCCTGGACCTACGCCGTGTGCCGTGTGGTCGGCGACCAAGCCGTGTGAAACACGCAGGGCTTGTAGGGTGTGGCTAGTTCTGCAAGGCTTTACTTACTTGAACTATGGACGTGCTGGATGCCGCCGCAATCGAAACTCCAGGAGCGCCATGTTCCAATCCCACCCTCCCAAGCTCGGACCGGCTTGTCTCAGAGCGCCCCTCCTTTCTCACTTGCCTTTTGTCCGGCAGAAACGGGGGGCGGAAATTTCAAATACCAGAACTTCAGTTTTGAGAGCGCTTCTTTCCGCTCTCTCTCTCTCTCTCTCTCGCTTTCTATCTCTCCCTTTTCTTCTCTATGTTATTTTCTCTCTTGACTGCTTGTTGTTTTTCTTTGTCTTTCTCAAGTTGTTTTCTTTCTTCTGCGCTTTTCTCTTTCTCTCTTTTGCTCTTCTCTCTTTCTCTCGTTTTCTTTCTCCTTTGCCTTGTCTATTTATCTTTTCTCTTTCTCAGTTCTCTTTCTCTTTGCTTGTCAAACTAACTATCGGGCTGTCGCCCGCCTGCGCATCTTTTCTTAAGAGTTTCCATCCGCCGGGCCGCCGCCCTGCTATCCTCAGCGCTGCACACAGGCCTGCCAAACTCAACAGCGCACGCTCAGCACTACAAACATCAGATGAAAGAACGCGCCCGCTTGAGAGCGCACGCTCAGCGCCGCACACAGCTGCCAAATGAGAAGCACTCAAGAGCACATCAGCACTGCGCACACGTGCCACATGATCAGCGCAGCAACGCACACACGCCTGCCAACTGATACTGCCAAACGATCGCGTCCCCGAGCGCAGCCGGCGTGTCTCCATTACAGTTTTGCTTGGCATTCCAGGCGTCCATGGCTGTCGAGGTTTAGCAGCAACTGTTTCAAATAATGCTTGACAAGTGAGTTGGCCCAAACCTTTGGAAGATCCATTTTGCCAGCAAATTCCATACACTTGGAACACGCTGCCCGCAAACTGCTCGCACTCAAATTGCGGGCGGGCACCTGCCCAACGCGAACTAGCACGGTTCTGGGCGCGTTTGGGGGGTTGCCCGGAGTCCACCTGGGAGTTTCGGGGGAAGTGTCCCTTCTTGTTTGTTTGTTTGTTTGTTTGTTTGTTTGTTTGTTTGTTTGGGTCATTTTGTTTTTTGCAGATGGCCAGTTTAAGTATGTCGGGTAGAGAAGTGTGGTTCGCGGCGTATGCCAGGTCTTTTTGCTCAAGGTCTTGCTTGTGCTTCGTTTTTCACGCCTGTTTTTGGGGATTCTGTTTGTTTTGGCTCGCCTGGTTTTTTAGGAGGTGCTTTTCATCTTATGAGGCAGACAGATACCACGAATTGCAGCGGCGGTTGCACTTCTGGCTCCTGGTGGAGTTGCTCGTTGAGCTGCAAGAGGCTGAGGACGACGCGGAGGCCCAGTCCATCCAAACCACGCTGGAGATGATCCAGAGGCACAGGGAGGAATGGCGACCAAGGGCGTCTTTCTGGGTCTGCAGGTTTCTAGAACACCTGCGCCTGTGCGCTACGATAAACAGGTTTGAACCCTTTCCCTTACAGTTCAATTCCCAGATAGTTCTTTCGCAAGTTTCGGGAGGTTGCCGCCCTTGGGGACAGGCTGCTCCATGGCTCCACAAGCCCGCGCCGCTAGTGTGTGCCTGGTCCAAAATGCTGTCGCAAAAGTTAACTTGCGTTCCAGACCGCCCTCACCTTGCGTCGCTTTCCGAGGAAGCTCCCTGTTCGCAAAGTTCAGACCCATCATTGCTAGGCCGCCGGCGGACTTGCTCTTTCATTGCTTGCAGCAGAACTCACCCAGGTCGTGTGATCCGTGGCTCCTCTGGACCTCCTTGAACCCATGTCTCTCCTCTTGGTGCTGATTGCGATTTTGCAGTGTCTGCCTCCTGCCTTTGGGAGCGCGGTGTTGTCGGCACTCAGGTTCCCGTGACCTGTGCCCGTGGTAGCCCGTGGTCCTTACGCGTACCGATCTCCAAGGTCAGGCGCGCCCTGCAGAGGCCCCCAGCTCCCAACACCGCACAAGCTCGGAAGGGTTGTTTGGCTCCGCACATGAACAGTTTGCGTGGCCATCTGCCAACCGGCAGTGCGGATCGACACTTGTTGCCACGGTCGTGCGCGCCCTTGGGCAAAGGAGGGCTCGGTTTGCCCAGCCTTCTCCCTTGCAGATGCGCAACGCTAACGAGAAGGGTCTTGCGTTCCCAAGAACTTTGAAATTTGTGCGGGTCCGAGAAACAATGTGCTCTAAATATGTTCCATATCCTTTGAACAGCAGTTCGGTGCTGGAGAAAGAGTGTGGCAGATTGGATACAGTGCTTTCTTTCCGGTTTTCCTTTTAGGGCACAAGACCAAGAAGGGGACTCTCAACATTTGCTTGTTTGCCTGTTGATCTCCCGTTGAGATAACCCAAACAACGGGAACCATAGATTCCAAATAGTTTCTGTTGAAAACAGTCCCAACGAGGGAACCCGAACAAATGTGTGGCTTGCCTTTGGTCTTCCATAGCTTCCTTTTACAACAGCCCCACGCAACGGCAGAGCCCAACTTCAGCAAGAAACATCTGGTTTGTCTCTGAATTATCATCCAGAAAGGGGTAATTGCTCGACTTCGAAAACACCCATACTCCTTTGCCGCGCTTCGTTTCGGTTGCGCCTCTTCAATACCATTTTTGTGCCTCGAGGTGCGTGCTGCTGGCCAAGAAGGAGAACCGGCCCCAGCTGAAGCCCTCAAAATGCGGCAAGGTGTTGGCCAGGGCGCCCAACGAGCAGGCGCCAAGAACCGCCCCAAGAGGAAGGGGCGCTGTGTTGGGGAGGCTTACCGCTTTCTTTCTTCGAGAGGTTCAGGGATTGGCTTTTCCCTGAAGCGCCGCAACATTTACGGAGGGTGCTGTTGGGGGTGCCACCATCACTGCGCTGCGGGGGAGTTGCGGGTGCTGTTGCAGGGCGCTTGCGACGTGTTTTGCAGGGCGCTGGAGTTGGTTGGCGGGGCAGTGGCATGTCAGCATGCATTCATTCATTCATGCATTTTGTAATCGCGCACTCTTTCACTCATGTCGTGGACAGCCCTCCGCTTCTTTACCCCAACCCTTTCTGTGTAATCAGGCGCTTTCTCCAGTGTCTGGATTTGTTTCGCTGGGAGGCCTGCCCCCTGAGTTGGACAGGGGGGTCCAAGTGGCCCCGGAAGAAACACCTCGTAGGTCCCTGGTGGATCTACTGTGATGCAGAAACAAATATGTAAATGGAAGAGGTCGAAGACCAAGTGTGTAGGCGGTGTTTGATTTCCAGGTGGAAACAAATGTGGAATGTAATAGAAATAGCAAAGCGCACTGGTTTTCAAATCTTCTGATAGCTACAAGTAATGCACAGGCCTTGAGCCAAAATTTTGCAAGCAGATTGCATCATGAGTGGAATACTGTGAATCAAGCGCACAACAAAAGAGAAACAACACAAACACATGTTTCTTTCCATTCATATGCTGCCACAGAGTGATTTCGTCACTCGGCTCTCAAGCCTTGATTACGCGGAATACTGCAGCGATAGCACATTGGACAATTCTTGCCGTAGCCATCTGAGTTACTTGGTTATGCCAACAAATCAAAGAGGCACGCCACCTTTGCACGAGCACATCTGTAGTCTGCATGTTCCTTTCAACAGGGTGACGCCACTGTGTTTGACAATTTCAATCGCACTCCTCGATCTCTGCATGGTCAGGAGGGCGATGGTCATCATCATCACCCAAGAACAGCCTGGTAATGTTGATGGCTAGCACCAAGCAAAACAAAGCCGACATCCACTGGTACGTCACCATGCTGTGTTTCCCCATGTGTACTCAATGGTGCGCGTGCAAAAGAGACGTATTGTTTGACCAATCCCACATTCGGCAAACTGTTTCTATTTTGAATGACGCCATTTTGTGAAATCTTGCTGAAACGTCCTCGTGCGAGTGTCTCGCCTGCCGCGACGCCGTCATTTGCAGTCATCCGAAGGTGGTTGGCATTTTCTTCTGCCCCCCCACAGTCGGAACCAACAGGTTGCAAACGCAGTCTTTGCAAATCATCATGGCTGAGCTGCGCGAACTGCGTTTTGAGTAAGCGTCGGTGTGAAAAACCATGGCAATGCGTTGAGTTTGGAATCACATGACATGGCACACACCGTCCTGTCAAGGTAAGGCAAATGATAGCTTAGACAGGCTTTGTCACTTGCAATTGCCCAGAGCATTTTGTCGTACTCGGGCAATGTCATCTTGGGACGGCTTTTTAGCCAAAAGGCTCGATTTGCCTGGCAAATGCTTGTGACTGCACCTTCAATGTCGCAGCCCGCGGCCACACATCCAACGAAAGAACACAGTTTTGTGAAACTGCGCCAGAAAAACACATGTTTTGGCTAAAAAGGCACAACATTACTACACAATATTTTACCACACACACACAAATTACTACACACAGTTTACTACACACAAAAAACTACACAGCCAAAAAAGTAGTTTTGACCAAATCGCTATGTGTTGTAAAAATGCCCAAATTACTACACCACTGCCCAAAACTACTACACAATAATTACCAAGCAAAATTACTGCACAAATTTTACTACACAAAAATGATGTATTTCTTGTGTAGAAAATTACCCAATTTTTGATCCGTCAGGCACTTTGCGCAAGTTGCTTTACAGCAAGACTTCGCGCAAGTCGCTTCACGCAAACCACTTGCGCAAGTCACTCCCCGCAAGACACCCTACGCAAGCTAAGGCGCTGGAGGCGTGAGGTGCTGTGCAGCATTTTCGAGCGACAAGTTTTCAGATCATGGACATTTGGCCGACTTGGCTTGGCAGCACGCTTTGCGACTGAGTAGCGCTTCTCCGAGGAAGGCACTGTGCGCGCCGCTCTGCGCAAGTGCTTTACACAAGCCATTCTGCGCCAGCAGCTATGTACTTCACCCAACGCAAGCCGATGAACGTAAGTCATTCTGTGCAAAATCGTCGGCCGTGCTCCGTAAGTAAAGTCTGATCGTGCAACTTTGCGCAAGTGTCCCGTGCAAGTCTTGCCGCGGAAGTCCTCTGCGCAAGTTACTCTTCGCAAGGCGCTCGGCCTGCTACTGTCCATCACTCTGCGCCCTGCGCAGATAATCGCGCCACTCTGGCACGAAATGTCGCAGCTCTCAAGTGCGAAAGTAGCAAGCTGAAATGCTCTTCCGCAGGTCCGGCTCCCCAGAAAATCGCAACTTTCGAGTGCAAAAGCCCGCGGCGTACATGGTCACAGCTCCAGCTCCAGTATAGCAACCCTAAGACTGCAGATGTATTGGTTTTATGAAATCCATAGATGTACGCATACCGATGAATTTACGCAAGCTTCTTCTCAAACTCAAATGTTACGTAATTTTTTAGGCAGGCCCTAATCTATCGAGGAGGCCGACCAATTTGCGACCTGCTAGTCCCAAAGAGCTATCCACGCCAGCGCGAATCTGAAGGACAATAAAGGTTTGAGCAGAGTCAGCGCATGTATTGTCAATGCAGCAACACGTTCAAGCCAATCGCACGCACATCCCGAAATCTTCGCCGCAAAAAGCAAGTGTCCTTGATTGCGGGAAAGTTCCTAAAGGTGACCATGCCTATGCTTTTTGATTTTGGCAATCACTGCCTCTGGCTTGGGCTTGGGTTGCCTCTTCATCAGAGGCTTAGGAGTAGCCTTAGGCTTTGCCTTTGACTTTGCCTGTTTGTGTGGATGCTGGCTTGTTGCTAGGTGAGCTGGTCTCTATCAGTGGGGGGCAGGGAGAGAAAACCTAGACTGCGCTGGCTGCAATAGGTGCGCGTGTAAAATAAAGGCCTGGGAGACTTGTTCCATAACATCAAATGCTGCAGACTGTCACCCTATGGATTTTGAACCAAGCATTAGCAAACAGGACAAGTCTATATGATATTTCTGTGGTTCCTATTGTTTTCATGTATTTCTTGTGAACTTTAAATGAATTTTCTATGCATTTTCCACGCACTGTCTAGGCACTGTTTGGTACTTTTTTGCATTTTTGAAAGCGCGTAGGAATTGCATAGAATGCAGTCAGCAGTGCGTAGGACATGCGCAAGAAAGGCATAGGAGCATAAAGTGCATGGAAAGTGCATAGCAATAGAATTTGTTCAAGTTCATAGAATATGCATAGAAGTTCATAGAAAATTCATCGGAAATGCATGGAAAACCACGGAAACTTCATACAATATTGCTAGACAATTCCATCAAAAATCTTTGATAGACATGTCAAAAAACTCAGGTAAAGCCATTGAACCCGTCACGGAAGCTTCATGAATTTGCTTGTGAACCACTTACATTTTTCAGTGTGAAAACTCGCGTACGTACAGCTCACTTACTTGTGTCAGCGTGAATGCCGGGATGAGTAAAGCTGGCAGCCTGCATCACTTACTTGTGGACACCAGGCCAAGGTAAGTAAGGCTGGCAGCCTGAATCACTTACTTGTATCAGCGTGGATACCCAAGTAAAGAGGGCCTGAATCACACCGAAGAGATTGAACGGACCACTTGGACAAAGCAAACTTACCATTGGGCAACTGCTGAAAATAACCGCTTGTCTTTACAAAAAGTGCTTGTAATTTGTCGTAGCTTACTAAATGTGATTTAGTAAGTTACCAAACAAATACGTAATTTGGTAATAAGAAAATCCTTCTTGCAATTTATGTAAAGCACAAAATAGCGTAAGTTCTTCGCTTCTCAAATTTAATAGTAGTTAATTTTGCAGACTTGGGGAACTTTGTGTGCGAAAGTAGCACGCAAACCGATCTCCGCACCTTCGGCTCGTCAACTTCCAAGTGCGACAGAAATCGCGAAGTGCGCTTCCCGCAGCTTCACTTTGAGCTACGAAAGTAGCGCGCGACGCGCCCCAAGGTTTCACGGAAGGGTAGTGCGCTAAATGCACTGCATTATGCGCCGGCTTCCGGGTGTAAGTCTGTGCAAGTTCCTGAGTGCAAGTCCAGCCTAAAGCCCTATGCTAGGCAAGCTGCGCAAGCCGCTCTTCTCAAACCATTCTACGCGAGGGACTCTGCGCAAGTGTCTCTGTGGAAGTTACTCTAAGAAGCCATGTTTGCTGTGAGTAACTCTGCGCAAGTCTCAATCCTGCGCAAGTCGCTCTTAGATCTTTGCAAGTCACTCTGCATCACTCTGCGCAGATCCGTTTGCGCAGGCCACTCTGCGCAATCCACTTTGCGCAAGTTGCTCTGAGCAAGCCGCTCTGCGCGAGTCACTTGTCGTCAGGCCTTCTAAATATAAGACGTTCTATGAATATAAGTCGCGAATCATTCACTCACAAGTCACCTTGCGCCAATCACCACTCTGAACATTAAAGGCCCTCTAGGAAAGCCACTGTGAAAGTTGCTATGAGCAAGCCGAAGGCAAAAAGTACCTCTACACAATTTTGCCGAAACTGCTTTGTACGTCGCCTTCCGCAAGTCAGTTTCAGCCTGCTGCACGCAGGCTCCGCCATATCCATATTGCCCATATGAACCTTCAATTATAGGTCCACTCTGAGCGTGTGTGCCTGTTTCCTATCGCCGGCCTTCCTCGCCTTGCGAGGCCTTCCGATCAGTGCTGGTATTTTGCAGCTCCGGCCGGGTGACCATGAAACGCGGCGCAGATAAAACCCATGAGGCTGGGCTTCGCGGGGACGACGCAGGGAGAAACCGTGCCCCGCGTCAGTGGTTTTGAGGCTTTGTGTTGCCACAAGTTGGGTTGCGGTGTGGCCTAGACCCATACTCTGCCCAACCCAAGTTACACTAATCCTCACTGAGGATTCGGGTTCCAAAGCGCAGGCCCATGTTTAAAAATATGGAAGGGGGTAAAGCCAAACCATTTCAACATATGTTTGCTTGGACGTGATACCCTGAAACTACTCAGGCTTGTGGACCAATCGCTTTTTGTGTGGACGGACTGGACGGCGTGGCGTGTTGTGCCCTGTGGGGTTGTCCAACAGAAGGCGCACACCACTGCACATATGCACTTGCAGCAATAGCAACGCGATGCTGGGGCAATCGAGCCCACGTTCTTGCAGCAATAGAAAGGGCAAAAGTTTGGGGTAAGTTGGGGTTGCTACGGTCGCTGACCACGCAGCCTAAAACACGAGAAACACATGACAAGGCAATGGCGAAGTCGAGAAGGTAGGGCTTTGGCACAGTGGCCTCCTTCAAGATAATTACTCAGCCCAAATAAAATGAGATTCCCAAGCCGACTGCGCTGTTTCAAAAAGAGGCTAATACGCTGAACCTTTCACACTGTGCGCAAGCCCTCAGGTGTGGCACGCTCGGTTTGCCGAAATCCTGGGCAAGCTTCGATTCACGCAGCCGGACTTAGGCCGTCCCTAGATCGTTTTGGCGCAAGGCTGGCGGCAGGCCGTGTCAACAGCCCGGGCTTATATCAATGAAGGGCATGCCTGTTCTGGCGGAGACGACGCTCCCGTGGAAGGCAGAAGTTTGATGGCCAAGAAGCAACACGTTGTTCAGCAAATCCGGGGTTGCTGAAACTTGATCTCGCAAAGCAAGGCTCAGGGGGCTTGGAAAGGTTTAAAAAGCGTAAAACAGGCGGAAACCAAGCCCGTGTCAAAGAGGACAAGTAACAGTGTAAAGCTGTTTCGGCCAAGTGGCTTTTAACGTTGTTTTGACGGCGCCTGCCTTAGTCACTCCACATCAGGCTCTGCTTGGTGTGGTGGGCAACCTGGGGAGGGGGGGGAGCAAAATCGGAGTCAGTAGTTTTTCAGGGAATTCAATGTTTTAATCTTGACAAAACTGGTCTTGCGTTGCAGAAAATTCAGTCGATCGCAGTTGCGGCTGAAGTGCCCGCCCGAGCTTGCAAGGAGTGGTCTGTCGCACCAGGTGTCAAAAAGTTAAGAACAAGTTGCGGCGTGGGAGTGTCGAACGCGCCCCAGGGGTCCTAAAGTATTTCAGGATTCGGCTTAGTCTTGGCAAACTGGTCTTGCGTTGCAGAAAAGTGGGTGTTCAATATGGACACGGAGAGATCTCCCGGCGGCAGGCAGCCGTGGCGCAAAAGGATTTCCCGCTGGCCGCCTTTGGGAGATGTCGTCGTCTCGCAGCGTCGGATTTTCTCGCCGTCGGACAAGGCAGAAGAAGCGAGCGGCTGCTTTCAAGACAACACACGTCGCTTCAAACGTATCTCCTTTTAAATCATTTGACATTCCGCCAATTTGCGGGCGGCCGGCGCGGAATTTCGCGCCACGGCGCAGGCGCGGCGAATCCACAATCTACAGGCAATCGCGCAGCGCGTTGGTTGGCAAAATGCGTTTGTTGCCAGACAGCAACAGCTGAAAAATGTTGTTTTTGTATGTAGGCTTGCCTTTCGAGCCTTTCAAAATTCCTTGTTTTGGGCTCAAAAAGCATCAATGTCTGAGTTGTTTCCAGGGTCAGCTAAGTTCGTAAGCATGTTGAATTTGCGAAGTGCTGGCAGCACGCACCGATGATCGCATAAATCAAGCGCAGCAAGCGTCCTCATGTTGTTTATAACACCTGTCATCCGTTTGTTTGGCCAAGCGAATTGTTCAGACGATTTTTCGGGCGGGCGGCAAATTCCATGTTAGCAGGGTTCTTGGCGTTGACCAAAAACTTGTTCACCAGCGCAAAGCCTAACGTGTGGCAGATTAGACCAATGTTGATTGGTGCTTGCGATCAGACCGTGCTGCACGTTGCGGCTGCACGAAACTTCGGCGACACTTTGAACATGATCCTCCAGAAGAGGCCTCCCCGCAAGGGCGTGGGGGGGTATGGGCAGCAGCCAGCTCGGGGACAAGTTTCTTACCAACGCAAAGCTGGCACTGAGCCCCTCCCAGCACGTCTAAGCCAGCCCGGAGCAGCTCAGGCGTAATTTTGAAGGGAAAGGGGGTTAGATTCGCGAGATGTTCGTGCTTCAGACCTTTTCAGCTAAGGAAGAAAACATCCAGAAAAGAACAATCGGTGCAAGGAGCTAACCGCGCACACCTACTTTACATTACAGAGCTCTGGTCTAAAGTTAGAATGGCTAGTTTGCGAAGGCCGTGCTTCACACTATTGTCATAGTCACGATGTGTTTGCTACGTGTGTTGCCTACCCCAGCGCTTCCGGTAACTTATATGTCAGGAACCAGCTTGGTTCCCGCTATAGCAGGGTCATAGAACTTGGTTCCAGGAACCGGGCCAAACAGACTTCAAACACACCCAAAAAAGTAGATTTTGTGTTGCCGGGTTGTGCAACTGGTGCATCCAGAGCCTTCAGCAGGATTTTGGTGCTCAAAGCAATGGATGCCATCAATGAGGAGCATGTTTTCACTGAGTTCATGGAATTGTGTTTGGGCACAGAAATCAAATCATGCCTGGATGCGGATTGTGTCATGTGTTCAATGTAAAACAGGTTTGGGAGATCCATGTTGCATTGAATTTGGTAAATCCGGTTGGTCAGGGGATCCGGAATAGAAACCTCGCTCGCCATGCATTAGGTTTACCACGAAGCCTGCTGGCGTGCCAGGTAATGTCTGTTAGCAAGCTGTTCGTGGTGCATATCTGCCCTTTGTATGCTGGGTGGGGACTGTGTTAGGAATACACTTCCGGCCATATCCACTTGTCACTGAACACTAGTTTGCATGTTGAGTAGCTTCCTTTGGAAGATGTGATGGCTTCATAAACCTGCTCGCTACAAGGACACGTTCCAAATGTCATCCACGCACAAAGCAAATGTTCGTCCACGATTGCAGGGCTGCAAAAATCAATAAACAGCGCTCTGTGTTATTTGCGCTGCGACCTCAGTTCAATTTTGTAAGCAAATGCCCTGCTTCAGTATGCTTAGGCGCTTCCCAGGTGGAGTAGGTGGAGTGCAGGTCGAAAGGGCTACGCGCTGACAATAACTGTTTTATTCAAGGGCATTGAACCCCGCCAAACGCCCCACACATAAACACACCATACGCACCCCAGAATGAAGCATGCAAGCTTGCACCGTCATCCTTGCCTGCATATTGTGGGACACAAGAAGCAACATGTGTGGTCCGGACATCCTGGAGAATTGCATCTTGCCCATGTGGGTGAATTATGTTGTCTCAATACCAGTCATGAATATCAGGGCGAAAAAGGACGGCCAATATGCTTCCCAAAAATCCAAATTGTAATGCGTACTACATCGTAATGCTGTTTGGGCATGATCACATCGGTTTTTTGGCGTTTGCACATGGAGGCTCGCTCGCCACAAAGCAATATCTCTTGGCATAAGTGTTGGTCTATCCATTTTGTGCACGGCAAGGTTACCAACTGGAGTGTGTTTGCATGGAAGTAGGTCGTGCAAATATCGGCGCAAGTGTCTTTTGAGCTGTGATTAGGTGAGCCATGTCTATAAACGTGTCATGATTTGCTAAGTCGTATCATGTTGACTACGCCACCAGCTTACGCCACCTTACGCGCGTGGAGTTTTTCCTTACGCGACACATTTGGAGGTTTTGCTTACGCCACTAGCTTACTCCACCTTACGCGCGTGGAGTTTTTGCTAACGCACAGGTCGATATGACACGACTGTTACTAACCGTGCGCACGGAGGTTTTGGCCGCCGCTCGAGTGTGATTTCATGCCATTGTGGAAGCCGGACACAGGCTCAGGGCGCAACATTTTGCTAAATGTAGCCCAACAAAATACCCAACGTAACTGTATAGAATTTATTTATTTTGAACTCGAGTGGTCAGCAATGATTTGCACATAGGTCTCATGCGTCGGCTCGCCGATTGCAAGGAACAACATAGAGGTTCTTTATTTGAGTTGTGTTTCCGACCGATGCAGTGACCAGTGGCCTCGTGTCCTGAGCGACAGGGTAAACTGAGCCATCGGATGTGAAGGTTGTTCCGACCTAAGCATCCTAAAGCAAGCAAGCTGCCAGGCTTGACAATTCTTTTTATTCACAACTCAAACAGTACACCTTTTTAAGCCAAACCAGCTGCATCCTAGAAAGTCGCATTGTTGGGGTGAACCAGAATCATACCCCTTGCAGCTGTTCCTGTGAAGCACGTCACGATGCCCCGCAGAAGGCAACAGCAGCCAACGGTTGCTGCCCTTTGCTTTTGTATTTTACTGCTTCATCGGACAAGGTACGTTGTTGAAGGGATCAAGGAGCATACCTGAGGCTGTATTAGTCATGGCCCATCATTGCTGAAGCCACATTAGCTGGGTCCACTACATTCGGAACTCTAGATCGTACATAGAATTATTTTAACCCTCTTCTGCGTCAAACCAAGACACGCACAGCATCGTTCCATGGGTGTTTCGCACTATGGTGAGCTGTGTCCAGCACATATCGCAGGGCAAAATAACACATTCCCAAAACCCTACAACATCTTTAGCAACAGCAGCTGTTCAATGTCCCTTCTCAAAACAAATGTCAATATCTTGCTTGTCCAAAGCAATGTTATATTATAATATTTGGAAGCAACAATTTTAAATTCGGACGCGACACACGTAAATGATCGTAAATGCAATTAGACATGTTACTCATCGAAGTGACTTGGCAAAACATAATATGATAACGACACCTGCCTACAGAACACCGGCCACGGTCACACAACACGTAGCAAATCACGTGCGCACACACGCCAAAAGAACCCCGCCCATACTTGCACACTGTGTAGAAAATAAGAAACAAGCCAAGCAGCTAAACACACATCACAATCACACTCACGCATCACACACCAACAAACCACGCAAACCCTTCATCACCCGCTAGACCCGCACACCACGCGACAAGGCGTACTCAAACTCTCCAATTGACCACAATCAGGCACTACACAATAGATAATGAGCTTCCCTGTCAACGAGCCACTCACAACACAACAAGTCAGAAACACGCACCAACTGAGTACCTGCCAAAATCACATACCACACAACAGAATATAACCACACCCGCCAACTGAACTTCACACATCACACAAATAAACCCTCAGCACCCGGGCCAACCAAACGCCCACAGCCTACCACGCAACACACAAACAACCCGTCCGCCAGCTGAACACCCGCCAAACTAACAAACCACGCAGCAACTCAAAATGCACGGCCACCAACTGAAGACCCGCCACAGTCGCGTGCCTACAGCGAATTAAAAACACACCACCCTCCACACTCAAACACTACATAATGAATGCTCAAACACGCCCTTCGGATCAGCCCATAATTTCACACAAGTGATGAACACACCCGCTCACAAAGCGCCCGCCGCAGTCACACACTGCGTGACAAAGTAGGAAAACAAGGCAAGTGAGCACCCTGCACACTTGCATGGCACACAGCAAATAATGAGCGTGCCAGCCACCAAAGGCACCACGCAAAGGAAAACTGAACACGCGGCAACGCGCATCCGCCGCGGTCATACTCCGTGCAAAACACGGCAAACACACCTGCCAACAGAGCACTCGCCTCGGTCACATACCGCTTTAACACATAACAAAGAAACACGCCCCGCCGAACGCCATACTCACACCGCGTCACGGACGACACGCCCACGCCCCAACTGAGCTCCCGCTAGAGTCACTCACCACGCAAGAAAGGGCACTGGCACCGGCCAACTGAGCGCAAGCTACAGCCAAACACCACATAACGAATGAATAAGCACACTTGCCAACTAGGCACCGGCCATGCTCATGACAAGCACTCAGGCCAGCTGAGCACATGCCATATCAATACACCACACAACAAATGAGCAACGCACGCCAGCGACAAACGCAGTGACAAGTGCTGGGGCAGGAAAACCTTTCCAGCACAAGAAGGGCGAAACCGGAACCGTTAAAAAGGGGCCCGGAACCGTTAAAAAGGGGGTGGAACCGTTAAAAAAGGGGGTGGAACCGTTAGGTAGGGACCGGAACCGTTAGAAGGAACATCGGACGCAAATTTGTTGAAAAAAACGCGTGCTCCATGACTGTCATGCGGAAAACATTGTGTTCCATGGTTTTTGTTTAATGCAATGGAAACTTGGGGTGAATCTAGTGTGAATCTAGCGGCAAATAAGCGCTGCGCCCGCTGACTGAACACCCGGCAAGCTAACCCACCACACAACATGCGCCTGAAGCTGATCCCCCACAAGAAAAGACAGAAAAGATCAGGTCAACGCCGAACCCGAATGAAATTGAAACCGATCGTCTCAAAACACGAGCCCGGACTTCCCCTCGAACCTCGAACCTGAACCCTGCGCAGGATTGTGGGCACAATGGTTGTTGTAGCCCAAATTGCGGACTCGGCTGAATAACCTCAAATTGTTGCAGTTGTGCCTTGGGGCTTACCTAGAATCAGTAACTTGTGTATAATTTCTGGCTCCGCCTTTCCGTTGGGCGTAGCCAGCTCGCTGCTCCGGCGTGTCTCTAACGGTTCCGGTCCCCACCTAACGGTTCCACCCCCTTTTTAGCGGTTCCACCCCCCCTTTTTGACGGTTCCGGGCCCCCTTTCAACTGTTCCGGTTTCGCCCTTCTTGTGCTGGAAAGGTTTTCCTGCCCCAGCACTTGTCACTGCGTTTGTCGCTGGCGTGCGGTGCTCATTTGTTGTGTGGTGTATTGATATGGCATGTGCTCAGCTGGCCTGAGTGCTTGTCATATGCTGTGTGGTGATGAGCATGGCCGGTGCCTAGTTGGCAAGTGTGTTTATTCATTCGTTATGTGGTGTTTGGCTGTAGCTTGCGCTCAGTTGGCCGGTGCCAGTGCCCTTTCTTGCGTGGTGAGTGACTCTAGCGGGCGCTCAGTTGGGGCGTGG